TCAGTGGGAGAGAAATACCAAATGGCTGGTAAATGTTTTGCATTCCCAATTATGGAAATTACTTTATTAGCCCCATACAGTTTGAAGAGCTCTTCCCAAATCTAGTCAATGATACAATACACACTCTGGACTTCATTATAAACATCATCGAACTGTTAATAAGAAAGAATCATTTTTAATCTTAATGTTGCTTTTTGTTATGGCAGGATACATTCTCTCCGTGCTCACAGACAGAAAACCAATGGGAACAAAAGTGAGAATTGGCACAGCACTTCTGGGTTCAAGCACCAGCATGCAGATGATCTTGCTACAGTCCATACCCTTTACACAGTGATTGTCATGATCCTCCTAATGGCAATTTGGGGAGCCTGGTCAAGAAAGGATTCGTCTTCATAGCAGCAATATGCATTCTTTGTCAAATATTTAAAGGATTATTTGTGTCAGTTATCCATACCCAGAAGGTACAAAAAAATGGTTCCAGCATATTACAGTTTACTTGAAACTGCTTTAACTATTGCTACTTGTGGAACTGAACCTGTGAAGCAATCTAATAGGCAATGTACAGAATGTGACTTTGTGAATAACATATAACTGTTTGCACTGTAAACATGTTCATATCACCCTTTGCATGTATGTAAAACTTACCTTAAGCACAATATGCTAGCAAGAAGAGTTCATCTAATGTATTTATTGGTCAATGTTTTATATACCCACCTCAGCTTTCTATTTTTGATCTTAAGTTGTCCAGTCTCTACCTCTGCTAAGACTACCTGTCCCCATCCATGGTAAAATATATACTATAAACAGGCAAGTAATCTGCCATGTCACAGCAATGTAGGGGAGAAAAAAAAAAATAAAGCCAGCTATCCTGCAGGCAAAGGAAGAGCTCTGAACAAGTCAAATTCTGATCTCAGTTACTGAAGAGAGTTTATATGGGGTTTGCATCTGCATATTTTTAACCATTTTTAATGGTAATACCATTGAGAAAGTCTGGCCCCTTCCTCTTGACATCCACCCCTTAGATATTTGTAAGCATTGATGAGATGCCCTCTCAGTCTTCTCTTCTCCAGACTAAACAGACCCAGCTCTCTCAGCCTTTCCTCATCAGAGAGATGCTCCAGTCCCCTCATCATCCTCGTAGCCCTCCGCTGGACTCTCTCCAAGCTCTTTCTTGAACTGGGGAGCCCACACCCGTGCCAGCTCTCAACAGGCGGACATGGGTGCTGGAATCGGTCTTCCCGTAGCCACACAGCACTCTGCCAGTGTTACCCTACTCAGACAAACACCCTTGTTAAGGAACCACCTCATCACACTTCATCATGGGATCATCATTGATCCCAACTTTATAAATCCCACAGGGATAATCCTGCTTCTGAAGCAATGGAGATCCAAATAAGGTGTTGGAAATGCTTCACCTTCCTCTCTTTCACCTTACAATAGAGGAGATGAGGTATGAAAGTTCAGAAGAGACAGCAGTAGAACATTAAGTGCTTTGAAAACATCCAAATGTCCATCTTGATTGACAAAATTATCTATTTTCTTGAAGAACATGTACTGGTATCTGGGAATTTCAGCTACCACCAGAAAAAAAGGGTGGGCAGACAAAGCACAGCGCAACACACTTGATGAGCCAGCGTGAAGTAAGGAAGGAGAACCTTTCACAACCTCCTTATAGAAAAGGTTGGTTCATGGTTACACCAACTTAATGTATCATCAAATAATATTTTAAGCTATAAAATATATCATCTGGACTGGCCTGCATGCCTCAACTAATATATTAAGCTATGAAATTTAACATATAAGGTCCCTTCCAAACCATGCTATCATTCCATGATACATTTTTTCCTCAAACTTTTGCCTTAGTGC